CATTTAGCCTTTATTTATCCAGGTTAGTCTCATTGAGCCACGAGAACTCATTTTCAAGAGAGACCTGTTTAGGGAGCAGATGATGGGGGTTAAGGGCCTTGCTCATGGGCCCAGGGTGGGGTGAATGAGGGTGGGGGCAAGTGTTTGTGTTTCACCTACCCCACCCACAATTTTGATGTTGTCGGGGCCGGGGCGTGAACCGGCGATCTTCGGATCACAAGCCCACCTCTCTAACCTCTGCGCCACCACTCCCCCAAACTAAATGTTTGGCATCTGTTTAAATAAAATTAATAAAAGCTCAAATATAAACTTATTTAATTTTGTGTCTTTAGTGCGTCTCTAAGGGATTTTTTTTTAAACTTTTTTTAATTTAGTTTGTGCTTTTTTAGTTGGATTCAAGCACTCTGAGCAAATCACAGGAGGAAGTCCACACTGAGGACATTGGGGGAAACATTCCCAGGACTTGAACAGCTTGCATCTCTGTCCAAACGCAGCTGTGGTCTGTTTTTTTCCATCTCCCTCCTGGCTCTGGAATGGACGCTGCCGTTTCCCACAACTCGTCCCAGCTGTCCCTCCTCCTCCGCTGCAGCCACGGCCTTTTACTCTCCATTACCCACTGCTCCATGTGACTGACAGGTCAGCGATGATTGTCACATCAGATTAATGGTGGCGACCGCCGGGCAGTTTCCTCTGGACCTGCTGACAGAGAAATTTGGCCAGTTCACGGTAAAGATGTTGCCAGTGTGTGGCCGTCAGATGGGATGGGTCCAGTTTCCAGAGTGGAATGCCTCAGAGGGGAGCTCCTGGCACTTATGCTAAACAACCTGTCACTGTGTTAAACTGTCTCTCTCTCAGCCGCGCTGTGGATTTTGTTTGAAAAGATCTTAAATAGAGAGGGATCACAGATGATAATGAGAAAAAGAGAAAGTCTCCGCTGTCTACACTCAGTGTGCTCAGACAAAGATGGCTGCTTGTCTCGTCTTCATACCCACCAGTTCTGGCTTTCCCCAAAAAACCCACTTCAAACAACAGTTACTCATCCATGTTTTCCAGCTGTGTGCATGGATAAATCTGTGGTGCTTCCAGGCATCGAACAGGGATCTGGTCCAACTCTGGAGCTCTGGATTTGTTAAGAGTCTCTGAATCCACTTTACAGCTGGATCATACGATCCGTTTTTATACGTTGTATAAAATGTGAACAAAAACTAAATACAACGACTTGCAAACCTCCGTTCAGCACCTCTTTCTGCCATGACGCCACGTTGTGTTGCAGTGGACGCAGTGTGAGGTTTGGGAATGTCTTGCTGAAATATGCAAGGCTTTCTAGGCATGATGACCTTTGACCTGCATTCCTGAGGGTTGTCAGGGCTGTCCAGAGTCAAAGCTGTTTTTAATGCTGGAGATCATGAGCATCAGATGTTGTTTTTCTGTCTTGTCCTTTGAGCGCAGAGATTTCTCCAGATTCTTGAAAGCTTTTGATGAGATTATAAACTTTAGATTAGATGATGGGATTATTCAAAAAGTCTTTTAGAAATTTTTGTCGAGGAGCATTAATCTGAAATTGTTCCTCTGTTGGGCGGCACGGTGGCACAGTTGGTAGAGCTGTTGCTTCTCAGCGAGAAGGTCGCCAGTTCAAATCCCGGTCCGGGACCTCTCTGGGTGGAGTTCGCATGTTCTCTCCGTGCATGCGTGGGTTTTCTCCGGGTGCTTCAGTTTCCTCCCACAGACTAAAAACATGCATGTTAGACTGACTGGTAACTCTAAATTGTCCCTAGGTGTGAGTGAGAGAGTGAATGGTTGTTTGTCTTGTTTGTCTCTGTGTCCCTGTGATGGACTGGAGACCCGTCCAGGGTGTACCCCGCCCCTCGCACCTCTGTCCATCTTTACTTCTGAGACAATCATCCTCTAAGTCAGGGGTCTGCAACCTGCGGCTCTGGAGCCACATGTGGCTCTTTGGTCCCTCTGCAGCGACTCTTTCAAGCTTTGACCAAAACTGACATAAAACTGAATTTTATAGGATGTTATACCCACAACAAAAAATGACTAGTTTGTGCCGTTTTCCTGTCATTTCCTTTGCAAATATGTGGACACTAGTATTAATACACAGAGTAAATTATACTCTGTTTAACTTGATGCTTTATTTCTTAAAATTTCTTCACAATTAAAAAACATATAAGCCTGAACTGTTCATTG